TTAAAGTGTTATTAAATCATATCTAAATGTCAAAATGGTTAATCATCATAATATATTATAAAGCCATATTGCCCAGATTATCTAGTACAATTAAATAGATAGCCTGATAACAAGTAAACTACAATGTTTAAAGGCGGTTCAGACTGTCTACACATTTTGACAACTAAGTATAGGTTGTGTAGATGATAATATTCAATGGCTTATTGTCATAAGTACATTTCTAAATAATAAATAATAAATTTATAAGTCGTTTAAAGTAAAAGAGTAAGGTACTATTGAATAGAGAAAATGTTGAGAATAAAGGCTATAATGCTATATCATAATATAGTCATGAATCATGGAACCTTTACTTACAACTGATTTTGGTACAGTATTACTTAAACATCACAATAACATGCTCTATGCTGTATAGACCTCTGAGATCATATGAGGAACGGTCACAAGAGTGGATTCCGTTCAGTCAGATATTAATTTAAAACAAATGATAACAATATCATACTTGTTACAAGTGGGATAGACTGTTATAATACTGTTGTAACAGAGGATGATGAATTAAAATCGACTCACCTTCGATGCACACAACATGGTCCCTGACTTGTTGGGCGACAATTGGGTCGGGTATGAGCTCAATGAGATCATAAATGGCGTATATGGATGGGTGAACACTCTCAAACCGCTGAATTTCCTTGCAGATGGCCAGCGAGTTGTTGGAGAACGGTGAGTGACTATGGTAGTACGATGGACGGCCGTTCATTTTTCTAGTCACGTCGCGCACATCACACTCATTGGAGCTAAAAACGGACGGACGGGCGGACGGGTCGGCACTAAACGAAATCACTTCAGGCACTTCGAGAAGAGGTAACAAGAATATCGACAAATAAAAACGGAATAGCGCGGTAGATGGCTGCTGTAATAGACACAGATCTTGTTACCATCACCAATAGAGTTGAGCAGGGCGGAGGCGGACGACAAAAGCGATAATTATGTGTTATTATAATTTAGAAAAAAATTAAACGTCAAAAATCGAAACCACCGTCGATGTCTGTCATTCTATATGGTCGTGCGATGATATCAGTATATCACACCAACTTACTCAGAAGYCAACGGCTTGTAATCAAACGCGCGTACAATAAACAAAACGCTATCTCGGCCAGTCGTGTTGTTATCCGTGTTTACCATTTTTGCGTTCCTTCCACTACTCCCTCTTCATAAAAAATGTACATGGAACCACGCGCACGCGCAAACAATTGCCGTCACCAAGTCCGTCGTTACAAACACAGACAGATGTCGCTCCGAACGTTTCAAGTGGTCACCCGCATTATTTAAAATCATCCCATCCGCTCCGCAAATGCCTAATTATTAATTTCGATCCTTATCCTTGTCCATTGTCCATTCCAATTGTATCATCATAACTCCTACAAAATTAATTTAACGTTCTAAATTTCTCTTTTCTCTTCAAGAATTGAAGAAAAAAAATCGTCAAGACGTCATTCTGGCACCTCTATATGCAATATAAATTAGAAATTTACAAAAAACAAAATTACATTTTTACATAATGGAAAACAATGAGGGGCTATACTATATTTGAAAATATTTCAGCTAAAATGATTTTGTCCAAAAATAAATTTACGAAAATTATAGTACCCGAAAAATATTTCAATAGAAATGTATTTTATAAAAAAAAATTTTCATCGGAAGATATACCTATATGTATACGAAAATATATTGGTCGAACATATTTTTCCCAAAACGTTAATTTACGAAGACGTTAGTTGAAAACTATTATTTAAATCRTGTATTATACAGCAACTCAATCATACCAAACTCGTGTTACTATTTCTTTTATCATTAAGTCCAAACACCCACACATATACACACTTAAACATCCACCATACACTGTAACACTCTTTAATTTTGCTACGGCGTCGCCTATTACCGCACAAACGCACAAAATACGCATGGGACAAAACAGCGCACAAATTTTAAAACACTGGTTATCCTATAACCACACACTTATATATTTTGGACGATTTTCAATAATAATCTATTACAACATTATTAAACTTTATCTGTAAAAGAATGTATCTACAGTAACTTGTAGTGAGTTTACAGTGTTTGAATCGTCGCACGTGACATTTATAAKAAAATCAATATATTATAATGGAATATAATATATGGAAAAAAACAAGTTYAAATTTTAAATCAATATAGGTTCCTACAATATTCATATTTAAATAATTACATTTTTATTACTATTATACTATATTATTAGTTATTACAAATCATGATTGTTTAGATGCTATTTTTAACTATTTATTTTAATTTAATATATTTTTTTAACTTTTATATTTAATAAATGTGTGCGACATCGTATTATTTTTGTGTGCAGTATTGGGTTATGCATTTTGTGCGGTATCGGGTCATGTTTGTGCAGTGATGATAAGCGCTATTTTGTTCGGCTACCCAGTTGACTTCTATTGAGTCGCTTAACCTACACACTTAMACTGGTCGATCGGTGTGTGAATACAACATACTAAGTATTTTAGTCACTGGACATCATGACTTATTATTGCTTCTTACTCAGCCCGTACAATAAAGTAAAATTAATTTAGTATATATTTAATATATATATATTGTATACAGAATATGCACCATATATTATTGCATTAATATACTATGTATAATTTTGTATCATATACTTCATTGCACTAGTGCACTACTATTTGGAGATGCAAGGAACAAAATCCAATGCAACGGGACCTTGGCCATTCMATCCTTATCCTTAGCTGAGTTTCAGTTCACCAAGTTCAATGATACGAACTTTGAAGCAAATTTTCATACTCTTTCCACGTTATATAAATGCTCATTGTACAACACTTTGTATAATATGACAAGTTTCAGACCACACTGTTATTATTACAATAACATACTAAAATTTTTTAGTCAACCCGGATATATCACGTATCTTTAAAAATATGTATTAAATCTATTTTTGATTTGTTTTTTATATATTCTCTTCTAGTCTGTTAGGTTTTGATATTAGAATATTTCGATTTTTTTCTCAATAAAATTATAATCTCTCGGCGTTCTAATTAGACAATTTGGGTACATCAACGTAGTAATAGAAATACTATTTATTTTATTATTATTATAAAATTGATCATAAATAAAACTTGCTTTTGGTGACTATATAATGCTATATTAGGTATAATGTAGATTTAAGACCTTGAAAAATTTAAAATATGAAAATATTTAGGATATTAGCCTATAATATGGCCCATCATGTGTTTAAATAATACAATTGTTGAAAAAAAAACTAGTAATTATGTAACCTGTTTATATAGATTATGTTAAAGTTATATAGGTACCTACTATAATATAAATAAATACATTCGTATATTTTCATATTATAAATTTGTGGCTCGATATCCGGATAATAATATGWAAAAAAATATTGTAAAAAATACACTAAGTAGATAAACCTATATACCTATAGATAAAATGTGGCCCATTTACCGACCAATCTAATGAATCTGCAGACCTTAATAATCAGCTGWTTTTTAGTATTTTTTATGTGCGATCAGTTTCTAAGAAAAAGAAAATATTTTAAATTTTATATCTGAATAATATATTTGTTCACATTAAGATTTAAGCCATTTAAGGTGTTAGAATTAGGAATTTCTAAGTTAAAATCAATTTTTATTTTTATTTTCATTATTCTTAAGAAATACATAGAAATGGATTTGCTTAAAAAAATGTTTGTACTCTTTTGTATCTAAAATTAATTATTAATTTATTTATGTTTTTGTAGCTATAAAGTATAAGTGATTTTTTTAAGTCTCGTCGTCTCGAGCTCTTTAGATAATATTAAATATATACTAAAAATCAAACGGAGGCAAAATTACCCGAGCAGCCGAGTCCGGCGAGTCCTATTATATATTTCTATTATTTGAAAAGGAGCTGTCTGAATACTAAAATAGAATAATTAATACAATTTGATGTTTTTAACATTTTATAATTACAATAATAATAATATAACACACAATAATCATATGACGACACGAGTTTTTACAATAAGAAAGCCGTGTCGAATATAATAATAATATGATCGTTACACGATTTAATAATATATTTGTATTCCCATAAACATTCGTAATGTTAAAAATGCATAGTAATATCAAAGGTTAAATAATAATAACACACAATTCATATTTTACTTAAGAGTTAAGACTTTTCGCAGCACGACCACRCTGCAGCGAGTATTATTTATTATTATATAATTATGTAACTTAGCGTCAAATAAATTGACCGTATAATTTAATATGATTTTTCATAATATAATAATTATCGTTACGTTTAAAACACCCTTCGAACACACATAATTTAAATCGTAAAAAAAAAGAAACATTAAACTCGTTTATAAAGTCATTAACGATATACACACGTCACACGCTGTATTATTATAATAGGTTTATTCGTTTAGTATAATATTATAATAACATCATGTTCTACACTGCCACGTTTCCGAATCCAGCGTAAATGTCACGCATCGACAAATCCCGTATGTTATATTGTCCATGGGGACGAAAAAACAATAAAAATAAACGACGAAATCTATAGTGAAGGGGTGCCGGGTGGTTGGTGAAATTATAGGTTTGGTGATATGATGTGGCGAAATAAAATAATCATTTACACGCTAATAGGTAGATAGTTTGGTTAGGGTTCWACACACGTCCGAACGAATCACAAAAACTAAAAACAKAACTAGAATATTGTCAGGTGCACTGCAATAATATAATTAATATCACTATTATTAAGTAAGTAGTAACACTGACACACTGTTAGCAGAGATTCTAACACGTTTCTCGGATAAGTCAATGTTTAATATAAAGCTTAATCAAGGGAGAAGATGAAAAATCAATTTTTTAATTCAACTAAAACAGCTATTAGTCAACTTCTTGAATATTTTGAATTACAGTTATTTTAATTTTTTATTTCATTTAACAGTTGTAWWACTAAACAGTTAATAAAAGTCATAAATATATGAAAAAATACCAAGATCCGAATTCCCTCAAAATATGCGTCACCAGAGTATAAGCATAATTTCGGTTCCATGACACTCCGAATGTATGAAAATTTTATGTATGATAAATTTAACTACTGTAATCGTTTATGTATGATCTTAAATATTCTACGTTCAGACGTGTGAATAATACCTATCACATCAYTTTTTAAATTTACATTTTAGAAATAAATATATAAAACAAAGTCGTTATTACTAAATATTAAATAATAATAATAAAGATAGCAACCATCTATACATATTGTTATAATGTGAGTATTGTATTACTGTRTACAACAATTATGTAGGTATTTAATGTATGCAGTAACAGATATTAAACATAAACTTTTTACCATATTAATAGGTCTATGATATTATATGTATAATATTATTATGTTTTAATTAATTTTTATAATATAAAATATTAACTCGAGATCTATATATAAATATAATACATCCAYAATAATAATGGATTATATAACACTGAATAAAGAAAATTGTTGTTTTCATAAGTCTACTAACAATTATGTAATCTAAATGTCTATACCATATGGTTTATTTTTTATTACAAAGGATTATATTTTTGTATCAGAATCACTATTATTATTCTTAAACACAATTTACATTAATAATTCAAAATATATTTTATATATTATTATTTATTATATAGGTATATAGTAGTAGTACACAATTATTATAATATTATTTATATAACCATAGTATTATACTAATAATCAACACATAAATAAATCACACGCCTTTATGTATTTTAATTTAATAAACCATTTAAAACCAAAACAAAATTAAAATCGATCAAAAACTTATATCAAAACACAATTTATAAAATCATATTCAATCATAATATGATAAATATTGTATTCCTTAAATATCTAATTAACACGTTTGATATTCATTTTTTTTCCGGTATTATATAATAAATATAGGTAGTAAACTCATATCATACAATCTGCAGCCTTCGGAAAAATTAAATTGTTTCTTTCTGTCCTTAATATTGAGTAATCGTTTGTGAATTTCGGTTGATTATTATTTATGCTAGCTATGCAATGTGTTTCATGTGGATACGCATACAGTATTCACCCATTCACTATGTGTATGATAAATATATTTAATTCTATTGGGTTATTGTCTTAATCAATAATTTATGCGTCAACCACAACAACGCGATGCCTATAATATTAATATATTACTTAATCGTAATACCACACAAAATGGTAGAGTGATAAAATATTAAATGGAATCAATATCAATTAATATTTTAAGTTTCAACARATCAATGGTAATTTATATTATATATTTTACCCCTATATATCATCTCTATAGTATTATATAGTCTTGAAATGTATACTTGAACCGAAATATCATCATAATTGAATTAAAAAATATAAAATTACTTTTTTTTTACTTTCGCTGATACTTTAATCCGAAATTGCAGTTTCGCTGAATGAATAAATTATAATATATAAGTCATCATATATATAATGCGTGGACAAATGCCTGCTATGAGTTTTAAAAATCATTCGACATTGCACAACGGGCTGTTTTTTAATATTGTAAAATGGAATTCTATACGACTATATTGTTTACCGACAAATCTACTAGTTATACCAATTGTGCTAGTGTAATACCTACGTAAATTCCTATAATTCTTTTTTATAGTTTGTTTTCACACGTTTTCTTTAAATTATTTCTTATTAACTATAAATTATAATAACTATGATTTTTCTAACCCACATAATAGGTATATAATATGTATATCGTATATGTATAGTATAATATGGCCATACAGGTAATATAAAATAATAATAATATCAATACATTCCATAGATTAATAATAATGATTAGTCTCAACGTCAACACAGGCACGCATACGCTATGCGATATTCATCATATTATGTATTAAAATATATCAAATATGGGTAGGTATGTATTATAGGTAGATATAGGTAACAATAATAATTATTTTATTATTAATTAATATCAGCTACACAATATGTATGAAGTACATACCATACGTTCAAACATATCGTTTACTTGTATAAAACATTTATCTAGAAATAATATAAAAATATTGTTCCCCGTGTAAGGAATATCGTGGAAGTATGAGTTTTGAAAAATTTGAGTAAACAACTCAGCACGGTCATCGAGGTCGATTTCCGCAGGGGATTAATCGAATGGGTTACAGTAACACAAGCGTGCGCGCACACACATACACACATACACACATACACATAAGGTAAGTGCATCTCATTATTCGCTGCATTACTTGTCTGTGCCCTGCAAAATGCATCTCGTCTTTAGGTCCGTGTACCGTCTACAACATACACGATGAATTTGGGACATATTATGACTATAGGTATTTTTATTTTTTAAAGTTTATTTAATTAAAATATTGTCGAATCCTCCACACTATAATCTAGCCATATAGGTACACGGTGCCGCCACTGAGTGACGTTTGACGAGAGACAAAAAAAAATTCCCACGCGAAGTCGATAAGTATATTATTTATTATATTTTATATATATATGTATTAATATTTTATATATTATATTTTTATTATATTATGATGATATATATTATAATAAGTACGGCCACCCTTGTGTCACTTTTCTGCCACTGATCTGAACGTCATGATGGARTATAAAATACTTATTGTAATGATCAAACGTGAGTTCAAAATGCGAGCATACCTTTAATTATCGAAGGACCTATATTATAAGGACTATATTTGTAGAAATTTATAAAACATATATAATGTATGTGCGCAATGGCCATAATACTCGTTATAATGT